CGGGTTCCCAATTCCGGCTTGCGGGAGGCTGTTCTGGTTCCAGTGGTGGGCGTAATGGGTGACCAGAAAGCGCTTGCTTGCCAAAACAACGAATTCAAGACATTCCCAAAGTCCTGGGCTTGAAATACGTCCCTGACGGTGGCGATCTTTCCCTGATTCATCTGGGCGATCGCCTCGAACATCGTGTCAAATTCTATGTAGTCCGCCTTTGCGAACAAAGACTCCTCCATCGACGCCAAATGGTCCATTTCCGCGCCAAAGCGGTGAAGAACCTTGCGAACGTCTGCGTTCTTGATTATGAGCCGGAACTCGCTCTTTGAGATCAGCCCGTCATCGTGTATGTAACACTCCACGATGCTCTGCAAGTTATTGCGCAAGTAGAGTGCCTTGGCGCGTGCCTTCTCTTCTGATCTCACATCCCCTGCGACAGAAGCGATGATCCGCCACCGTGCCCCCTGACACGTGGAAGCGTGCGTGGTAGAATGCCAAGAGCTGTGTGGTAGGGTTTGATCTTCTAAGGGGCCCCCTTTCGTGGACGTCGTCGCCACCGTCGTCGTCGTCGTCGTGGACGTCGTCGTAGCCGCGGACCGCTGCGTGCGTCAATCCCGCGTTCCGGAAGCCTCCCGGATTGTCAGACGGCTCCCTGGCGCCCTTCAGGGCGCCCAAACTGTTCGATATGGCTGTCAGTGCGGCCCAGGAGGGAGAGGAGGAGGAGGAGGAGGAGGAGGAGGAGGAGGAGGAGGAAAAGGAGGGTGAGGAGTTTTTTTGGCCATCAGCGTTGCAAAGCAACTCTGAACGGGCGTGACCAGCACGAAAACCACGGAGACGCCGAGGAAGACCCAGAGCACCTTCCGGTAAGTACATTGCACCGCGCCCTCATCGACGCAGTACTCGAGTGAAGGTATAGCGGGGCCCCACCTCGTGCATAACGCATGTCGATGATAGCCCCGCGGCCTCCATGACGCCGCACACCACCAGTGGACCAGCACAAAAATGACGACCCACCATACCACAGCAACCAAAAACGCCTACACCCTGCGACCCGCCCAATGCTTGCAGCTCAATGACAGTGCCGGTGAGCATCCGCGGGTAGAAGGCGTCACTCAACCACCACGCAAAACGCTACCACACTGTGTAAATACATTTCGGAAGTGAGAACAATGAATATAGAACATATCGCACTTGTAAGACATGAGAGATTGACCTATCCAGAACGGTAACGATGATATAATGCATGAAGCAACGCCCAACCATAGAAATATGACAAAGCGTCTGCCGTACTTGCCCGAACAGGCCTGGGCCAGACTCAGCCACGCGGGGACGCCGCCAAGGACCCATAATACACAAATAAGACAAAGCGTCTGCCTGACTTGCCCGAACGGGCCTGGGCCAGGATAAGCCACTCGAGGACGCCGCGAAGAACCCGGATGAAGGAACGATGCTGGTGCCCACAGCTCAAGGGCCCGCGCTGTCGCCCCAGCCGCCAGTGCCACAAGTCTCACACTGGGAAGCTCGTAGGCATCGCGGCAGTAGCCACTGTGGAAGAACAGAACGAGCCGCACGCCAAGTCGCCAACGACGAAGACGGAGATGGACACGCACGCCCCAGGTAGTACAGCCTGGCGTTCACCGATGAGGAACAACTGTAAACATAAGAATCGCAGGCACTACCGCCCAAATCAGCACGTGTATGGTACAGCCCCGGGGCATCGCAGCACAGGCAGCTAGCTAGCTCGCTAGAACCAAGGCTGGCCTGAGTTGAGATGAGACTTGCAAGGAGGAGGAGGAGGTGGAGGAAGGGGGAGGAGGAATAGTAGTAGTAGTAGTAGTAGTAGTAGTAGTAGTAGTAGTAGTAGTAGTAGTAGTAGTAGTAGTAGTAGTAGTAGTAGTAGTAGTAGTAGTAGTAGTAGTAGTAGTAGTAGTAGTAGTAGTAGTAGTAGTAGTAGTAGTAGTAGGAGGAGGAGGAGGAGGAGGAGGAGGAGGAGGAAGCCGCGAAGCGCCAAGCGATTGAGGCGTGACAGTGGCACTGGTAGTACTTTGACTTGTACTCATCCCTCTCCTCTCAAATTTCGTTACGCGTGTATTCTGCGCCGTCCTCGTCTTCAACTAGCTCGCCCCCTTCTCTCTCACGTTTCAAGAGGTCAGCTGACCAACCAAACAATTCTGCTTGCCTCCCTCCCCCGGAGGGACCGTGCCCTACCGGCTGTTGATGGCAGCAGCTACCCTGAGCGCCCCTCGGATGCTTAGGGTTCCTGCTCTCCACTCTTTTGGTTACACGCGAACCCTTCTCACCCGCCTCTCACTAGTCGCTGCTGCTTGCTTTGTTCCCGCTCCACGCCACGAGGGTCACATCAGGACCTTCGCGCCTACTCTAGGCACTGCTAGTATTGGGTTGGGTTCGAGAGGCGGGGTGGATCGGGTTGGGTGGTTCTGGCGGGGACGGGGGCAGACTGGCACAGAGGCCATTTTGGCGCTCTGCGGAGGGGCGACAGCCCTTCTGCGGGCCGCAGCATGCCAGACTTGCTCCCACTAATACCTATCATCGCTTGCTGCTCTGCCACACTTTGCGCATTACTCTGCTGGCACTTTCTCAGGCGATTGCCGAAAACACTGGACTTAAACTCCCGCGTGCGTTCACTTGCGCCAGTCTGTACCCGCCAGCTGCTACCAGCAGCTAGCACGTTTTGCTTATGAAGCTGGTGCTGTTTGTCGTTGATCAAAGATGGGGGTGGAGGTATGGGTGCCTGGGTGTTGGGGGGGAGCTTACTGACACCGGGGCCATTTTAACCTGCAGTGGAAGGGATACAGCCCTACTATAAGCCGTTACACATCAGGCCCGCTCCCACACTACCTACTCCGTTCAGCCCTGCTCTTGCACCCGCCCAGACAGTCTTTGAAACCATTTGTTTTACACTCCTGCGGGCATTAGTAACACCAACACCAGGCCAGCCAATACTTGCGCCAACCTCTGCCAGCCAGCGGCTACCAGCAGCGAACACGTTTTGCTAACATTTGTGCCGACGGTCTCCGTCTAAGTATGGGAGGGTTGGTTATGGGTACAGAGGCGTGGAGGCTTGTAGTGTTCTGTGAAGGAAGAGAGCTGACTGGCACAGAGGCCATTTTGGGCCGTATACCATACTTGCTCCCACTTTTAATTACATCACCTGCTGCACTTCTGCGCGCTCCACACGTTCATCCCATGTATCCAGTACCCATTCGGCAGTCACACGACGCCACTTTTTGTACACGCGCGTACTTTCCAGACAGCTATTCCAGCCGCCAGGCCAGCCAAATCTTGTGCTAGACCTACCATCGGCCATACCTCCGTGTCTTGTAGCACCAACACCAGGCCAGCGCCAGCCTACCAGCCAGCCGATACCACCAACTAACTCGTTTTTGGTTACTACCCTTGTGCCGACTGAATCCGACTAAGTAGAAGGGGGGTGCGATATGGGTACTTGCCAGGTGGGGTGGCTCGTTGTGTTCAGGTGGGAAAAGGAACTTACTGGCACACGGACCAATTTGGCCCTCAACAGAGAGGCTACAGCTCTAGTATTGCACGTTCATCCCCTTTATCCAACACCCATTTGGCAATCACACGACGCCGCGTTTTTGTACACTCGCGTACTTTAAGGCAGCTGCTCCTGTCACCAGGTCAGCCAAATCTTGTGCTAGCCTCACCATCCAACTGGTACTTGGAGGTGCTTAGACATTTACCCACCGCATGCATACAACTACATACATACATGTATACACCTTGTTTCGCCGCTGCTCACTGATCTTTCGGGGGCTCGGATGATGTATGGTGGTGTTTGGAGGTGGGGGGGCATACGCACTAAGGTATTTCTGCTGTCCTCCATTACCTGGCGTGCGCCTACTTTAGGTACCCTTCTTAGCCGCTTTACTCTTCTTGCTGCCTTTCCCGCGGCGCTAACCAACTTTCTGCGCCACGCCGGGCATCTGTTTTCTGACTTCTTCCAGCAAGAGCGCTCCAGCTACGTAGCAACAGTCTGAGCGACGTCAAGATGAGGAGGAGGAAGGAGGATGAGGAGGCAAACTACCAAGGCCGCCCAGATTGTCCAACATGCCATTGCCCACGATGGCCCCGAGACGGCCCAATACTACCTCAAGGCTATACAAGAAGCGCTTGAGGCCGCCCAGGCGGGCTCCACGAGAAACTCAAGGAGCGCCCGAAGGGGTGCTTTGTCGGTGCTCTCATATGTTTGGGACTTCGTCAGCTCAAGGCGGCCAACGACGCCTCCAATATGGCCTGGAGACGGTCCACGGTGGCCTCAAGAAGGCCCGAAGGCGGTCAAAGAGGGTTACCCAAGAGGGTTCCAAGAAGGCCGCGGTCCAAGAGGACCCCAAGTCGGCCCAAAGGGGCTTTCAGATGGCCCTCAAGGTCCCCAATACGGCCCCAAGACGACCCAGGGAGCCCCCCAAGACGGGTCCCGAAATCAACCACACGGCCCGAGAACGCCCTGACAGCCCAGGTAGCCCCCAAAAGCCTCCAAGGCGTCCCCCCAAACGCCTCCAAGGCGTCTCCGAGACGTTGCCCGAAGGCCCCGAGAGGCCCCGAGGAGGCTCCCACAAGGCCCCCCCCCCCCCGGGCATCCGACAGCCCTCCAAGGCCCTCATGAGACCCGAGGTGTCACACGTGACGACCTCCTATGCCCCCTCGGGTAGTCGCATCCCAGAATTCTGAGCTGGGGCAGGACTTGCCGCAGGTAGCTGCATACCAATGAGCATATTGAGAATGATGTACTGCGAAACGATCACGAAGAACAGGAACAACATGTAACCAGCCCAATCGCCGGAACTCAACATATGATGCATAACCTCTGACACGTCGTCGAGCAATATGCCAGTCACGACAAGGCGGTGCATGGTCAAATGTATGCTGGGGAAGTCTCTCATTCGCATTTCGTGCGAGCAGTAAGTTCTCAGCAGAATGCTGAAAACAAAAACCAGGCCAGTCAATATGGCCCAGACGATGGACGACTCCTTCAATCCAGATAACAGCCCCTTGAAAAATATATTCACATCCATTGAGGCCCTGCTGAAGCGGAGGATCCTGAGAAGCTTGAACAATCGCATCGTGCGGAGAGCGTTCAACTCGGTCTCGGAGTTCTTGGCCACAGCCCCTGGGAGCACGGCGTTGATCGTGGGCACGAAAAGAATGTCAATCAGAGACCCAAGCACGCACACCGTGTCGATGATGTTCCACATGTCTCGGAGAAATTCTTTCCGCAACGACAGGCAGCCTAGAAGTCGCATGACCAGCTCGACTAAGAAAAACCCGCTGAAGCAGAGCTCCAGGGTGATGAACGTCGAATCCTTGCTGTAGATGGACCTGGCGTCAGGATGACGTTCCACATCGACACCGAGAAATATACACCAACACAAGGTGACAAACATGGAGAGGGTGAAGATGGAGCTAGACGAGCGGTCTTGGACAAGCACGCGCAGCCAGCGTCTGAAGGAGCTCATGTCTGTGACTGTTCGGTTGTGGCGCCTGGTTAGGGCTCCCATGGACGACGCTTGGCGCAGCTTGTACTGCTCAAGTGATTCGAACATGGGCTCGCCAGTCTCCAATGAATGGGAGGCAGCCTTGCGCAGCCTTGTGGCCCTCACGCGCCATGGTACCTTCCCCACGCGGCGTATCCGCCTCACGTTCTCCGACTCGGGGTCAAGTTGAACCATGTCTACGAAATATACCTCCATCGGCGTGTTGCCAGACAGTCCGCTTCGCACCAACATCCTCGAGACTCCGGACCGCCACTCTCTCTCGATTCTCTCCGACTGCTCAACGGTGTACGCTTTCCAGCCCTTGCCATTGGAGCGCTCCCACTCCCACCAGTGGCTCTGGCTCTCCCGGCCGCCGTTCTCCAGAGACTCTGAGGTCCGCGTCTCCGCGCTGCAGCCGAGGACATGGGACGATCCAGCGGTCAGAGTGGTCAGAGTGTCCGAGCGCGGCTCGACCTTTTGTTGGGCCAGCGTGTCCTCTGGGGCCCAGGGCCCCATGCTTGGAAGGCGGCACCTGGGTGGGGCGACCCTGCCGCTGGCGCCAGTACTGATACACGCTGGCCTGCAGCCCGGCGAGTGGTCGGCCCCCGCCCCTGAATGACCGGGCGACTTCAGCTCCGGCCCGACACAGAAAACCACAGACGGCTCGCAACGGCCACCGTCGCCACCAGGGGCCGCTTCCTCGGAGCGCTGGACCTGTGAACATCGTTCAGCCGATCCCCATCTCCACTGAGAAAATGGCCTCAGCCCCAGTGGCCGACTTACCGAGGGCGCGCCGCTGGATGCCCCAAAGGGGGGGGGCTCGGAACCTCACCCAACCTCTTTCCCCGGACCGTCGTCAGGGCCCCTCCCCTTCTCCCAGTTCGTCGTCGACGAAGCCCCTCCCACCTCCGTTTAAATTTAAAATTAGGACTCCCCCCCTCGCCTCCCCACTACCACCTCGAAACCTATCCTTAGGCCCTACCCTCACCCCCACCCCTAATCCCAACCCGATCACTACACAGTACTCACTACTCACTACTCGCCAACCACTACTCACTATTCACGAATCACTACAAACTACTCACTACGCCACTACTCCCTGCTCCCTATACGTTACTCACTGTTCCATACTCACCACTACTCACATAAGCAGCTGACTACTCACTACTCGCAACTATTCACAAACTACTGGCAATTCGATTCTCAAACTCACTACTCTGAATCACTACCCATTACCCACTACGCTCTATTCACTAATTCCTACTCCCGACTACGAACTATTCAATTGTCACTAATCACTAACCACTACCCTGTACTCACTACTACTCACTACCCAAGACTTACTGCCCAACCCATTAACCACTACTCACTGTCCGCTAATCACCAATCTCGTCTCACTACACAGTACTCACTAGTCACTACCCACTAGTCATTTCCAACTTCTCACTACTCACTACGCCCTGCTCGCTACTCACTACTCGGTGCTTCCTACTCCCTGCTCGCTACGCTCTACTACTCATCACTCACTACTCACTACTCACGGTTCACTACTCCCTACCCCTACCCGCTACTCACTACCTTACTACTCCCTACTCATTGCTCAGCACGTTAATCACCACCCAATACTACTCACTGCTCACTAACTCCCTACTCGCTTCTCACTAACTGAATATTCGATACTCATTGCTCAGCACGTTAATCACTAGCCACTACTCATTGCTCACTACTCCCTACTCTGTAGACACTATCCACTACCCACTACTCACTGAACACTACTCATTGCTCACGACAAACTACTCACTACGCACGACTCACTGCTCACTACTCACTCCTCGCTACGCACTACTCGCTAGTCAAAACCCACTGCGCACTACGCACTACTCATTACTCACCACGAGCTACCCACTACGCACTACGTACGCACTACTCACTACTTACGACTCTCCACTCACTACACACTGACGACTACCCACTACTCGCTACCCACTTACCACTACATTCTGCCCGCTACTCACTACTGACTACCCATTACCCACTATGTTTAGCTCGCTACTGGCTACCCAGTAGTCACTACTCACTACTCAATACTCCCTACTCGCTACCAACTACCAACTATGGGCCACTTGCTACTGACTACTCCCTACTTCCTACTCAATACTTACTACTCACCACGCCCTGCTCACTACTCACTTCTCGGTACTCCCTACTCCCTACTCGCTACTCTCTACTCTTCACCACTCACTACTCACAACTCACGACTGACTACCCCCTGCGCCCTATTCGCTACTCACTAACCTACAACTCACTACTCATTGCTGAACACTTTTCATCACCACCCACTAATACTCACTGCTCACTACCCCTAGTCACAACTTACTACCCACTACTCACTGGTCAATACACACTACTCACTACTCACGACTCGCTACTCGCTACGCACGACTCACCACCCACTATTCATGACTAACTACTCGCTACGCACTACGCACTACTCACTAGTCAAACTCACTGCGCACTACTCACTAATCAAAAATTGCAACTCACTACTCACTACGCACTACTCTGTCCTCACTACTCTCTACTTGCTACTCACTAATAACTATCCACTATTCATTACTCACTAGTCACTTATTACTGATCACTACTCACAAGTCAATGCCTACTACCCACGATGTAGTTTTCACAACTCACTGTCCACTAGTCATTACTCAGTACCCATTACCAGCTAGTCACTACCAACTACGGTCCACTCGCTACTGAGTACCCCCTACTCCCTACTCCCTACTTGCTACTCGCTAATCCCTTTTCTAACGCAAAGGGTGGGGTGGGGGGAATCTTACACCCTCTTTGATGGGGGGAAGGTTTTCTCTTTTTTATATAAAAAACAATGGCCTGGAAACAGCAGTTTCGTCGTGTTCGCTGCGCCAATTATGTTTGTCCATGCTGTCGGCGTGTTCATACGTGATCGTTCACATGGCGTAAGGTACGCGCACTGATAAGGATGATGGTGCTGATGGTGTTTTTTTTTGTTTTTTTTTTTTGTTTGTTTTTGTTTTTTTCTTTTTTCTTCCTCTGCGCGCGGTCAAATAAATTCCCCGGTATTAATTCCCGCGCCCGTCTCGTCGCCTAAACTTTTGAAGCGGGTTCTATCTTTGTGTGGCGGATTACAGAAGGATTCCTTCGGTGTCGGAGTACACACTGGTTCTGTTTGGGAGCCTTTTCCGCCTCCTCCCTCGTGTCACTTCAGAACTAATCATGGTCACCTTGCTTTCCCATCATCATCTTGATTATCAGTCCCACCATGCCTATCACCACTACCAGCAATCGCCACAAGCACCCACCATCAGCACCGTCATCGCCATCCCCATCGCCATCGTTCGTCTTATCCTCCTCCTCCTCCTCCTCCTCCCCGTCATCAGCATTATCATCGCAATGCCGCCAACTTGGTCCCACCACCCTCCTCAGAGCTCTTCATGTTTTTTTCTCGGTTCATTTGCATCGTGATCATCATCGTTACCACCGCCACATACATCACAATAGTCATCATCACCGCCATCATCATCATCACCGTTGCCCCCCCCCCCCCGTCTTCTTCAGAACTCACGCCTCCCATCTCATTTTTTCCGAACTCGGCATGATTACTCCGCTTCCTGTTCCTCCCCCTCGCGGCCGTCCTTGTAGGCACCTGCGCCACCGCCGCCGCCACCGCAATCAACACCATCATGGCCGCCACCATGATTATCACCATCGCCCTCGCCATCCCCATCACCAAGAACTTCACCATCCTTACCATCCTCATCAACATCTTCGGCATCATCGTCTTAATCAAATTTACGATGCGGCCCATCATGATCACCGTGCGCATTGCGAATGCAATTGTGCCACGCGTTCTGGGCAACGGCTATGCTCCTACTACTCTTGTTCACTGTGCGCTGCACTCTACTGATTCTACATTCGCACAGATGATTTGTACTACTGCTGCTACTCCCACCACCACCACCACCAGTAGTATAATTAACACGACTACCACTACCACTACCACTACCACTACCACTGCTACTGCTACTGCTACTACTACTACTACTACTACTACTACTACTACTTCTTCTACTACTACTACTACTGCTACTGATACGGCTACTGCTCCTGCTGCTCCTCCTCCTCCCCCTCCTCCTCCTCCTCCTGCTACTACTACTACTACTACGACGACGACGACGACGACTACTACTACTACTACTCTACTGCTACTGCTGCTACTACCACTAACACTACTACTACTACTACTACTACTACTACTACTACTACTACTACTACCACTACTACTACTACTACTACTACTACTACTACTATTACTACTGCTACTACTACTACTGCTACTACTACTCCTACTACTGCTACTACTACTACTACTGCTGCTACTACTACTACTACGACTACGACGACTACTGCTACTACTACTACTGCTGCTGCTGCTGCTGCTACTACGACTACTACTACTGCCACTACTAGTACTAGTACTAGTACCAGTACCAGTACTAGTACTACTACCACTACTACTACTACTACTACTACTACTACTACTACTACTACTACTACTACTGTTACTACTGTTACTATTAGCACCATTACGACTATTACTGCCATCGCTACCACTACCACTGCCCCTACCACTAATACTCCTACTACTACTACTACCACCACCAGTAGTCCTACTACTACTACTGCTGCTACTACTACTACTGCTATTACTCTTCTTCCTATTCTTCAAATACTACTACTACTACTACTACTACTACTACTACTACTACTACTACTACTACTAGTGCTACTGCTACTACTACTACTACTGCTACTACTACTACTACTACTACTACTACTACTACTACTACTGCTACTGCTAATACTACTACTACAACAACAACTACTACTACTACTACTGCTGCTGCTGCTGCTACTACTACCAATCCTACTACCACCACCACTACCACTACTACTACGACTACTACGACCACGGTTACCATAATGTACTGCTACCATTGGAATGTGCCGCAGGCTAAAGATAGCGCGCGGCACTCTCACTACTGCTCTGCTGCGTATTCCCCCTCTGGTTACTCACCCTCAGCCCATTAGGTATTGTTAGTTCACATTCCCTATTCCTCCTCCACTTCTCCCTTCCCAGAACGTTCCGCACCATCCTCATCATCAGATTTCCTCCTCCCCCTCTTCCTCTACTCCTCTACGTCCATCTTCTCCCCCACGTCCATCATCCCTTCTTTTCCCACTTAGCCCCCCCCCGCCGTGTTTTCCAATGTTTCGGAACCTCTCGCACCGCCGTTCTCCACATTTTTTAGTCCTCCTCCTCCTTCGTCCCTTCTTGTCTTTCCTCGCGGATTACACGTTGGTTCCTTTAAGGCAATTCGCAATTTCCTGTGTAATGGGTTATACACGGGTTCCTATGGTTGCGATCTTACAAGACAAAATATTCGGTGTGGCAGATTATAAAATACTTGATTTTGTGGTGTTCTCGTACAACCGATTCTTCTTGTGGGGGACCACATAGAAACTCCTGCTGTGGCAGAAACGAACTCCCCCTTTCGGCGGCTTTACAACAGTATTCTTTTGTTGCGGACTCCAGAATGCTTCCTTCTATGAAGAGGGTTACACATCCATTATTTTTGTTGCGGTCTTGCACTGCAGAAGGGTTCCTGTTGTGG